ATATGACCGCTCATAAAATTTCAAGCATTTGTCGCTAGTCAGTTAAAATTCTAGGCATTTGTCGGTAGTCGGTCATATTTAAAAAAAGTTGATAAACAATAAGTTTAAATGCATCTAAAACGGTGCTTTATACCAACAGAATTCTTTCTAAAATGCTAACAATTGAATCCTCAAGTCTTGATTGRTCAATTGGATGCCCTTAAAGTTTTAGAGTGGCTCATCACAACTTCAATAAGCAAAATTTATTTTTTCCGCGGAAAATTTTGAATGTAGTTGCTTGAAAAATTAAAAAAAGCTTGTATTCACGGAGCTAACATCTTTGAATATTGGAAAATGTCGCCAGTCAGTAAATTTGTTAATGTCGGCAGTCAGCAAATTTGGTTCAAATTTGTCGCTAGTCATTAGTAGTTATTTTGTCCATTTGTCGCTAGTCGTTTAACCCCATTCAGACCCTGTTATATATACAATATCTGAGCCAATCTGACATGGCTTCAATCCAGAGGTAATGCCTCGCTTCACAACACATTTCTAGCTCATCTCTAATAACTTTTTCCTCCGTTATTTCTTCAAAGTAATTATCAAAGCTCAGACCGACATTTTTCGTGAAACGGATTACCTTCCCAGAAATACTTCTTGATCCACCTCATCACTCTAGATATTGAAGYATTTTCTTGTGTGTCTGTCATGTTTGTAGCTTAAGTACAAATCCAATGTCAGAATTAAAATCATAATCAATCGGTTAACAAAATCACATTTATGCAACCTGTGCTATGAACAATGCAAAATTAGTGGGGTATATACAAAAATCAAGAAATTATGTATATTGAACTTGGATTCACTATCGACCGTCCAGCCGGAATAAAAGTGAGCTAAATGAGTTGAAACGAATGTTCGAATGTTTGCCTGCAAGAACATGCAATAAATTATTGTTCAGTCTAATCAAGGGCATACCAATAAGTAATAATTTTRAATTGTTCATGTAATCATAGAGTAGGTAAAGCCTTCCTTTAGMTTTGCAATCTTTTGCGATAATTACAAATTATGGTAGGTCATCAACATTTGTGTACTGTATATCTGGTATATAACGGACCAAGAAAACGGCTAGTAAACACACAATATTGAATCGTTGTCAAAGGAATTTTTATACTTATAGCAAGATTGACAGAAGTGAAGTGATTTACGCAAGGGAATTCGAAATTACGACATTACATACTAGAATAACGGAGAACAATTTACGGAATATCCCGAAATCACGATATTTGAGTTACGTAAGKCAACCTAGAAGTGATGTGACGTCACACATGGACTAAGMCATTGTCACGGAAGTGTCAGGTACTCTAGCTTCGCTACAGTACAAATTCTCACTGCTCCGACAAACTYTTTTGAAATAGCTMTAAAATAAAGTTGAATAATAYCTTTTTTTCTGTTAAGTAAGGCCCATTACCGGATCTTATTTAGTATATATTTGGTTTTTGGCATCTACAGAAACTAAAATAAATTATTATTTATTACTTGCTGAATATTTTTACAGTTGAAACATGCCTAACAATAACTTTRCTACACCTTTCAAGATTATGATTACACGTACCTGCCAAGCAATATGAGTTACTAMGCCAAGCGTACTGAAAGTGGTGCCAGACAGGGGTCATTCAAAGTACAAAATACAAAAATAAAAATACAGGGTCGACAAATGGACAAAATAACAACTGACTAGCGACAAATTTGACCGACAAATTTGCCGACTACCGACAAAAACATATTTACCAAATTAAGAAGAAAAAACCTCTGGAGCAAGTTTATTTGAAACTGAAGCGTGGATCAGTTCTTCACAAAGATTTTGACTTTATGCTGTGTTATGACTAATAAATAAATGTTTAGGTCGAATAAATATGGCCAGAATTATACGTTTTGTGGCGACGACCAATGCTTCTGTACAAATCACCCTGTTCCAGAGTAAAATCGCTGAAAACTATCTATTTCCATTTCGCCTCATTTATCGAAGAAGAACTCACAATAAAGTTCTTGCTTTTTATAGTGTCGTCCGTGCATCGATTTTACGAAGGATAAAGTATCGACGTGGATCGGAATAATCCTTTGAAATCATCGCAATAGAATACTGTATCTTTGTGTGCCATATTGACACAATATCTCCTAAAACGACTTCTGAAATCAACAGATTAGTTGGTAAGAAGCTTATACAAGAACTTCCAGACCTCAAAAATCACATTTTGTGTGTTAAAGATAGCCTCCTTCGCAGGCAACTCTACTCCGTGGGATTCCTGTGTTAATTCCTAATCTCTCGACACCAGTTCTTCTCGGTCAAGAATATGAACACAGGAAAACCAAGAAGAGAAAAAATGTCCGTTTCCGATGGAGTAGCCTGCGAAGGAGGCTATGTTTTAGAACCCATTTCTGTACCAAAACACCGAGTCGTCCGCCATCTTGGTTGCGGATTTCTAAATGCCAGTATGTTTACAGGAAAAAATTAATTAGTGACTTATTAACTAGTCCAACTCGCGTGTATCATCTCCCTCCGATAGCTCTTCGATTGCTTCGCAATCTTCAAGTTCAAAAGATTATTTCATATCAATTTATGACACGCATATTTTCACTTATGTATTGCAATTGTATGGGGTTATAGAATTATACTAGATATTTTTTACACTTATATTTAATCCAATAAGTATATAATAATGTAGGTCATATTTACATTCTTTTTATTAACCTGACGCAAGTATGTCATATTTACCAATTAGTTTTCTTATCTGGTTTGGAATTAATTTTATGTTTCTTTGTGTGCAAAGAAGCTCCAAATTAAATATGTGATATTATATGTAATCTGAATACTGAATTTTCGCTGCAATAATATAAAAAATATTCAGAAGAAATGATTAGTAAGGATTATACGCATGCAGTATCTATTAAATGGTACTGATAAAAAAATATTCCAAGGCAAAATTCTATACAGTGGATACGGTAGTGTTACAGGAGGTGGTTCTCGTTTATAACAGTGCTTTTTAGTGCTTCTGGACATTTTTGAGTGTGTTTCAAATGCCAAGCGTGCGTTTATCAGACTATAAAGCACAGGCTGAGACCTATTTCTTTCTTTTATTATATAGATTTTGAGCAAAAATCCATTTTGTTGCCTTTTTCAAAAATCTCTCGCGCACAATCGTGGTTTATACTCTCATAAACCACACTTTTTTGGCCAATCAGAGAGCGCGCGTTAGAAGTCATCTATATAATAAATATTTTTGGACTACAAAGCATCTCGGGGTTTCCGTGAATAATTAATGCAGTATATTCAAAATATATTTGTGCCTATGTGCGGATAGAATTCAATGGCGGCAAGCACCACTAATATAGTATTGTGAGTATTAAACCCATGATCAAACAAGTTTCGCCATCAGACATTTTACTTGTAAAGTTTCTACGTTTTTAAACCGTCAATGAGCCACAAGAAATTTTTGAATTAAATGAATATAAAATTTAGATGCCAATCCCGAGATTCTTTACATRCTCAAGTCTGTGGACTGTGTCCTGGCGACGACAACGTTTTTTGAAATAGATGTATACRCATAAGCCGTGACACAATAACTAATTTACAAAATAGCATATAGTTATGCAAATTTCGTTGTTTTCATTGTCCAATCAACGCTATTTATGTAGTACTAATTTTATGGCACTATTCTTTCACGTATTAAATGCATCATCCACTCTACTCATTTTGAAGCAATCAATTAAGGGACGATACATTAGACTTTTGAGGCGGGAGGGGGGGGGGGGGGGGGGGGGGGTGAGATCTAGTTAGTACAAGAATTTTTTCAAAATTTTGCCTTGCAGGAAATTTTTCACTCATCTAAAATACTATGGATCGCCACTAATGGCAACAATAAAAAAAGCCACAGTCAACTGCTACACTACTAACTATTTCATGGGTTTAAGTGTATTACTTTGTAGACCAAATGATTGATCTATATGTTAAAATTTTGAGCTTTGGTATATCCTTTCATTTCTAAAAGTCAACCTCAAAACTTTGTTACTCGTTCAGTCTCTGTAACTGCCAYACTTTCGCTGTTGCAAATTGCGTCACTGCCAGACTGGGATGCCGATTCAGCATCTCTTACGTTTGTGTTAACAACGACGKCATCATGATCAGCTCCGGTGCTACATTCTTGATCCTCCTCCTCGTCTTTCCATTCAACATTTATCATTAGCCTYTCGCCGATCTTTGTCAAAACAAAAAATAAAACAAAACCAACTACGATAATRATGACCGAGGTGCCAATCAGCCATGGTGTAAGGGGCACTAGGCAAAATGCGCCTATGAGTGCAACGGTATCTATTATATAGATTAGTGACGCGAGAACAAGGCGGTGGAAATGAGTGCCTATTACCGATCCAAAAGGAGCCCCAAACACGACAATAGGTACGCAAACACCAACAAACTCCCACGCATCAGTTGACACCCCCTGGATCATGATCTGCCTCCAATAGAAACCCACAATAGTGTTACCAGCCATGAGGATCACTGATGTTGGAGTGGCTGTCTTTTCTGATA